CGTAACTGTAATCAAGTCTGTAACCAATCAGCACATGAATGAGTTTTTTGGTAGTTTTGACAGACAGACAAATTATTCTTCATAGTTGACAAAATCTCGCTACACTATCACAGATAGCATTTGTGGTAACTGTAATCCACATTAACAGAGCTGACATTAATGAATGCGACGTCGCCTATCGATTATCAAAATACCTGTTTTATGTGGATTTGGTTGAAGCTTATTTACCCGCATCCAGTTTCCAAATTACAAATGAATTTCAATAATACATGCTCGCTATCGGCGATGTATTCATACTGAATAACAGTGGGTCCTGTGCCCAAATATAACACACACTACAAAATACGCATGGGAGATGTGCGCTCTTTAACAAACACACACTTCCAAAAATACCGAATAATTGTCCGACCTTTTTAATAGTATTTCACGATAAACCGTGCCAAAACCACACAGTGTCAAAACCGCCATCCATTGCCATTAGGAGATCGCTTTGCGCTTTGATTCACCTTACCACAACTGCAGTTGACCAATAGGAAGTTAGCGCGTCCAGCCCCCCCCCCCCATTATTGGCGGCCATTTTGTCCGACAAGTTGCCGTGTAGGAGGTTCGCGTCAAGTTTGATAGATATATTGGGCCTCCACATGGGTAAAAAACGAAGTCCGAAGTACCCGTTTTAAAAGGTGTAAAAATCGAAGTGATGCTTTTTAAAAACTGTAAAAAAACGAAGTGAAAATCTTATAAAAATTGTAAAAGTGACCTGTTTGAGTTATAGAAAGTGAATATTGATGTGATTATTTTATAAAATTAGGAAACTGAAGTGAATTTCTTATAAATATGGAAGCCAGGCAAAGATCATACATGGCATACATTGCCGAACATCGCCGGCTTCGCCGAATCTTGCCCAACAGAATCTGGCTTGGTAATAAAAGGAACTAAAAGCGTAATGTGTTACCCGCTTCTTTATTCGATTGTTAAATGAAGGCCAAGTACCCTACAACAATCAGAATGCACGTAATGGAAATATCTAGCTCTGACGTCATGTCTGTTAAGTCTAAAACGGAACAATTTTGCAGACGAGCTGGCCCGCGCAACGACTGGCGCCTACTGACTGGCGAGTACTGACAGAAACATTGTGTCCCTATTGTCCGTCTAATAACCAGTTATTTACATTTTGTGGCCATTTGTAGATTACATTTTGAATAGGTGGTTACCAAAGTTGTAAATACTCCTTGCAGTAGTTTCATGATTGGGCAAAGATGACATATGTGCCTATTTTATTTGTGTGACTATAACTGGTAAATTAGAAGCATATTATGACTAAATATTGCTCTGCAAATAAACTAGTAATATCATTTTTGAAGTTCAGAAAAAAAATACATACAATATACATTTATTTAAATCTCTTGAACATTCTTCATAACTGTTACATAAACAACATGCTACTTTCTGTTTTAAAGCAGGATAAAATGTAAACATAGGGACACTATTATAGCCATGCCGTAGTTGATTTATATTTTGAGTTGGCAAGAATCAATAACCAATAATCAATTCATCACAATACATTTCAAAACAAGAATATGATAATGCAATAAACTAATTCAGTGGGCCGACAAGCTTAAATAGGTAGAAATCCCCTAGAAGTCATGTTACAGAAGAAAAAAACTTGAAACTGACTTACTCAAGTTTCAAAACTAGAAAGTGTTTTATAATTATGTGTCCCAAGGGAAGTACATTTGTAGTCTACATGTATTTGTATCTGAGGTTCACCAAAATGGAGAATGTTTTTGACAATATATTCCACACATGCATCATGTCCTCAATGTGATGTATGTGCTAAAGATGACCAAAAATAATATATAGCTGAGTTATGACTGAATGCACAGAAGGTAAATTGTATATGCCGGTTTTTCGCCTAATTCAACTTGGGGACTAACAGAAACAACAGTATCAGGAGTACAGTCTATATTGCTTTATTAGTATGAAGATTTGCCCTGATAACATCTGTAATGCAATAAATCATTGTATCTGAAATGCAAAGTTTCTAGTTATTATTAATAGTACAAGCTATTAAGTAATAATTGAATGCTTATATAAAGTGAAGTGAAGAATAGTTATGTTATAAAAAATGAAGTGAATTGATTTTTTTGTATGAAAAGTGAAGTGGGAATAGGCAATACAGTATTATTTTTTACCCATGTGGAGGCCCTATATTGCTTGGTGGTAGCGTGTGCCGATTATTAGGATGGTCAAACGTTGTACCTGGGGCCAGTGTAAATCTGACACTAGACATCCGAAACAGAATTCCAATATTGTATTATTCTCATTCCCGAAACCCAGTACAACAAATGTCTGCAGTGGATCAAGGCTTGCGGCCGACCCCATTCGCAACTTATTGTAAACAATATCGATAGACACAAGTACGTGTGTTCTAAGGTGAGTCATACGTCTTTAATATTGAAACAAATGTTAGCATGTTTTATTACGAAAGCCCTGGATGATGTGGCTAAATGCTAGATGTCACTGATCTTGTATAATTTCGCCGAAATGTGTTGTAGCGCGCACGTACATTCAAGGGTCAAACGTATTTCAGATTGACACGTCAGCCATGGCAGCTTCGAAGAAACGTTGCGCACAACTGTCAATGTTGATTTTTTATAGTACAAGCAGTGATGTGAGGAATATCAGTATTATTGATGTATGACGTCGTATGTATGGCAGTAAATTCAAATAAACAAAAAATCGATCACACTCGCCACAATCTGATGATATTAATCATTTAAAATTACGGCTTCTCTCTTTTTGGAATATGTGGTGACCCTGAAAAGAGCCGTTTAGTTTGGTTGACATGAAGCCACTAATCAAGCTCGGTCACTTCATTATGATCTTCTTGGTGGTCGAGATTCCATAGGGTCTGCAATGCCTCACGACGGCCGGAAGCAATTGACAGAATTTCGTAAACGATGCGGAATATATTCAAAAATATTGAATGTACATGTATATTATCTTTTCTCGGATCATGTCATCCAAGATCTTGAGACACGATTTGCTGATCATCTCTGTGGTCTGATAGCTGCACAAGCACCTTTACAATGCAACATTGGTCAGCTCACATCAACCCATGTGACCTCAATTAAAAATTACTAAGGGAAATTTTTGCAAAGGGCTGAATTTTTGAATATTGAAATTGAGAAGTGGATAACAAAGTTCAGTGATACACCAATTGAGCAAAAGCCCAATGATGCTGCTTCATCTCTTGCTGTTTGTGATGTCAACTATTTCCCAGCCATCCACAGAATTCTCACAATATTCTTTACAACATCTGTCGGCGGGTAAAGTTATGGACACGATATAGCATGGCTCAAGACAGACTCAGCGCTCTTGCAATGTTACTAGTACACCGAGGCACAGACATCATTTCTTCCCCAAAAGTGATTTATTCAAGGAAAGGTAATTGGAGATAAATTAATATGCTATCGCCAAAGTTGTAAACATAAACTGTGTATTGTACAACTATCAATTGTATTAATCAGTCCTGCACATTAATGTTGCTTATATAGGAAGATAGAACAAAATTGTTTCAGGTGACGTGTATAAAGTTCATACCGTAATATCCTGTGTTTTGTATATATTCATAAAATATATCAAGATGAATTTATTGTTAAAAATAGATGGATATACTAGTACACCCCCCCCCATAGACTTATGGCGCAACTGCACACATCTACGCCTTTATACATTTATACGCAACTTAAAAAAATACATTTGCCCCCCTAGTGAAAAAAAAGCTAGCTACGGCCCTGACATTTGGTTAATCTAGCGGACGCTATACAAAGATCATGGTTTAGTGCAAATTCGATGGCGCTACTCGCGAATTTAATACTGGCAAATTTAAAAATTATTCACAAATGTACGGTACAAAAACAAAACTTACACAGCCTTACAAGAACAGCGGGAAGTCGCATGTCTTCTGTCGGAACATATGTCCATGGTGATTTTATGCGGAAGCTTCGATTTTGACATAGACCTCCAACATCGCGCACTGACTGAGCTTTCGTTGTCTACCCTGATGTGGTGCACATAACCTTGAACGGAATAATTCAACCCTTTTTCTTGAGCCTTCTGAGACACATTTTCCCAGTTATATATATATCATGGAAATATCATTTGGTACATGAACAAGACTATCAATAAATAGATGAAGCTGTCTGCTTTCTCCCGCGCCCGCCATAGCCGATAAGTTTACATAAATGTCAGACGTAGCAACTGTAAATAAGGGGGCGTGGCTTAGATCGCCGTTGTGGAAAGGTGAATTGGAACAGTTTCAGTGCTATTGTATAAAATTAATTGTGAGCTAACTAAAATAATATGAAGGATTTGCGTGGAAACAGGTCCCCCAAATATTCAAATAATGAATTTGAAACTGGGTGATAGTTGAAAAATATCAGATCATGGTCAATTTGGCTTATTTTGTACGTCTGTTGACTGACACACGTGTATTTTTCAAGGTTAATATAGCAGCATTATTTTTGTCTTCAATGGCTTTATTATATATTTTCTGTGGAAAAATTGCAAACGGCTAATTTGTTTACATCATCCTTAACACTAGACAACTCACGAGTCGTTAAATTAATTTGATTCTGGAGTATGTGTGGAATGTATTGTAATGTATGTCATTTGCATGACGAATATACAAATATCGCGAGAAGTGTTATTAGACGTATTAGGGAATTACTATGTTAATGTACGAATTACATTGTGAACACGTTGTAAACGCTATTTCTCCATAGCTTGATATTTTATGTGAAATATACTATGCCAGTAATCTTATTTTGTCAGACAACAATCCGTGGTCCGTCCTTCGGACAATCAATTCTTTCACTCCACTACTCGGTTTAACTCATAGTATTATATTTCCATCTTTACAGCACAATAACATATGTTTGTGCTTTATGTTAATGCTTAAATGATTATATATGATTTTGAAAAAAAAACGAATAATATATAGCCAATAAGATACATTTTATTTAAACCCAGCATCCTTCGCCACACTTGATCTTGGGAAATTCAATGACCTCTTCGCCTTCGACGACACAGTTAATTGGTCCCTTCGAACCTGAAATGAAGATTTATACTTATAAAAATACAATTCATGTCAAATAAATTTCGATGCATGTTGTAACAGATTATTTTTTTATGCCTGACTTTATTCAGAATTCATGTAAATGTATCCAAATCGGCTCAAAAGCCAAAAATTGCTCTAAGATAATAAAAAAACACATAGGGCCGTAAAATATTTCATGTATAGGATTACGCCCTCACCGTGATCCCGTTTAGCCTTGTTACACAGACCATAATACTTTCCGTTCGTCTTCATCTCTCTCAACGTTTCACTGAACCAGTCAGTGACGTCATTGTCCTTCCTGGCAATAGCATGAGTAATACCTGGCTCTGCACATTTGATGCCTTTTCCAATCTTCTGGAATCCATTTTTAAGATAATTCTTTGCAAACCCATCAAGCACGAACGCAGCATCCAGCTATGTAATAGGAAGAGGTTTTCTTGACGCAAACAATTTCAACGCCATCATTTACCCTAACAAAATGTTGGTGTAAAGTTTATGCACAATTTCATGTATTTCTATACTTTGATAAATTTGAAATATTTTTATACAGATCAGAATATGTTTTCTTCAAAATTGTTGACAGAATATGGAAAAAAAAAATATTTTGTGAAGGGTGACAAAGATGACCTTGCCACCATTAATATTAAGGCGATTGTTAAAAACTGTTCGAACTTTTGAATGTGTAATGTCTAATATAACACTGTAACATGTTAAGACTATTCAACTTCCATTACCTCTCCATTTCTTAATTTGTTAAACAAGTCTTTCATTTGAATGATATATTCTTGCGTCATCGTATCTGCACCTGCCACGTCTTCAAGGCATGTATGACCCCCAGTCCACCCATCCATGAAACCTAGAAAATAAATATTGTGAGTCTAATGGGTGTTAGTTAAATAATGGATCAGACATCGTTATTACATTACATTACATTACATTACATTACATTACACTACATTACATACGTATTAGATTAAATGCAAGACAAGATGGTCAACTTACCGATTTTCTTTCCAGCAATATTGTTTTCGTCGAATTCATTAGGATTGTCGGATGGTACGTACAAATTGTATATGTTGTCAGTTTTCCAATATGGCTCCGTAAATGCCGCTACGTGTGTACGATCCTTTGTTTTAAACCAAGACATGCAAACGTCATATTGTTTGGATATAAGGCCTATAATAAAAAAAATGTAAACGAGCTGCGTTTGTATTTCCTCCTCGTGTTTTTGCATTACAGACTAGTGTGTAGCCATCGTTGTTTGATAATTAATGATCTGGTGATATAAACCTTAAATTAAAATTCGATATGAGAAATAATTAACTTCGATGAGTTATACTTATTAAACAGTTTCGATTTCTTCTTTTTCTACATCAGCTGACAGAAATTCGGTATCGTTTCTTGTTGTTAATAATGTATGGGAAAGAAAAAATAAATTCGAATAAAATTTGGAAAAAAATGTTCTTACCTTCGCCGAGCAAAAAATGATTATCATCATGGGCAAAACAGTTGGAATTGTGGTCGTATTGTGTTTCACAGTTCCTTCCAGCTTCCTCGCAAACTAAGAAAATTTAAGTAACATATCACGTTGTATTTGTTATATAGATTTCGAATAAAACAAGTCATCAGCCGTTTTCAGTATAACTTGTTGCCATATAAAATAGACGTATAACAATTGATATGGTTCTATATCAAATGTACAATAACATTTTAATACTGCATATAGTAATAGCAAATTGTATATACCCCCACCCACCAAGCCCAGAATCCATATGGTTAAATTTACGAACATTACCTGCATTAATGAGGTCTATAGAAAACCCCTTCATTGCACCTTCATCATCACTTTGGAAAATAAGAAAAAGAAGAATGTGAACGACAAATATTAGTTTATGTAATGGTATGTCTCACTACGTGGGAATATTAAAGTGAATAACATATTATACATATATTGCATTACAATCGCTTTGTGGGATTTGTATATATTGATACTGGGGCCAATGACCTCCAGATAAATTTGTATTATAATTATATATTATATCACAATAATATGCATCTTATAGCTCGCCCTCTAGTGACTAAGAACTTATATGACGTAAAGGTAAGAAAGGACCATTCACGGGGTCTGTATTTTGATCAGTATTCGATAATAATCTTTATGAACTGGATACGGCTATCCAGTCCATTAAGGTTTTACCATATACCATATAGGTGTAATTACAATTTTAGCACGGCATGACCTGAAATACGCGACAACTTGTATAGGAAATACGTATTCCCTCGCCGATATTATAAAACCGGAGCGATTGCACAGAACAGTAAGATTGTACACGATTCAAATGTGCATGCAACGTCTGCTTATATCACAGTACTTAGCTTACATGTATTCCAGAGCACAGTCACACAGTGGAGTTAAAGCGAACGTGTATACTCTATCAGACTGTTTCCTCGCCCTCAGCCCTTCTATAATTTGCATTCCCAATTCACCGGCAACTTTACGGAAGACCAACAGTTTGAGGAGAAGGGGTCCATCTTCGCCGGTATTCTTAAAGGGAACACAGTAAACAGAAATTAGCTTGTAACAATTTTCATACAATAAATTATTCCACATTCTGGATCTGGCAGTAACTACATGTGTTTTTCGTGTTTTTTGATTTTATGATCTGACTACTGATCAATGAATCGTTTCTGTATTTTGTCTAAATAGATGACTTATTATATGTGTTTATGTCATTGCTTTAATCTAATATAGCCCGCGTACACCACTTTTACGGTAAAAGTATATTACATATGAACAACTAATAAGTAAATTATCTCCGAACAAAAAGGGGAAAATATGTATCTAAACTGAAACAAACAACAGACAAACTGTGGGTGATGAAAATACCATAGGCGAACAAATATTCAGATTATTAAGTGATTTAAATACGTGATGCTGACGTAGGTTAAACGATAGTGTGGTTATTTAGATATGTTCATATCGCGATGAACTGACCATCGATGCGCCCTTGACCCATCCGAGTACGTGTGGATACACTGCGCATAATGCGGAGTGAAATTGCATTGATAGTCTGGAGGGACTAGCGACCAACTTTCACATAGCAAAATATGGAAAACATGATTAGGGAATTTGTACAGAATTTGTACCGAGTTTCTCTTATTATATGCTATGATTTGATGTGAAATGGTATGAAATGATATGAATTGATGGGTTCTATAATTATATTACACACCTCCATAACACGTTTAGCTATCATCGCTCGTACTATTGGTGGTGGAGTCTGACCATTCATCAGTGCCCGCAATATGGGGAGCGGCGCACCAGTACCACCGCCTACATTACCGATAATTTGTTTCATCAGTAATGCCCTGAGTATGGGTTTATCTTCCAAAGCCCCTTCTAGCGGGCCACCTTCGCCACCCTCGCCAAACAGTCCACTTGATAATGCATCTATTTAGAAATTTAAATAGTTAACAGTCGAAAATAGTGTGTACGTGTCAACTTAAGTGCCATGTGTCGCCGCAGTTCGTGTATGTGGACATCATGTCATTACAGTCATTAGCTTCCGCGGAGGAGAACCAAATTGTAACGACTCACAAATATATTGAAAATGCAGCTGTTTGCACGCAAAGAAATCTTTGTTCATTTGACGGTACGTGGGCCACGTATACATATACTAATCTGAGAAAAAATCTGTTCAAATTGTTTGATGCGAACTTACCTTTATTAAAAAATGCAAGGCAGACTAGCGTTAATAGCACGAAGCGAGACATGTTTTATGTACGACTTGCAAGGCACGAAAGAAGCGCCAGCAGGGGGTTGTATTGCATGTTAACAGAGTTCGGTTCCAAAGTCTGTCGTATTATCTCTGTTTTAGTTGTTATTCATTATATGTTATCTCTGTTATCAGGATGATCCTTCCGCTTCGGCTAAAATAATGATGTGATTTGAGCACATATGAGATACGTTAACTAGTTTTAATGGTTTTCGTAAATTAGGCCATCCATTATTAGATTTTCCTATTGATAAAAGATGTGATTCAAATAAATATGTAAATCTTGGTATTATATTATATTTTCATAACCACAACTCGGTAATGAGTGAAAAATAAGGAGGTAAGACAAATTTGCTCGCACAACTCGACAAGGTCAGGTTGCTCTGTGGTTCCAACGGTGACGGCGTACACGTGTAATTTAATATTGAAAAATATTGGGTTATTTCACATGTATAACTATTGAGTTCTTATTCGCTATTGTTTGGGTAGGCTTGGATAGAGTGGTTTCAACAACGTCAAATAATAAGCTGTATGACGGTTGAACTTAATTGAAGTTCGTAGGTAGTGGAAATGAACTGACGAAAACGTTGACCGAGATATGTACTCACTATACTTATCAGTGCCAGCCCGACGATTCAATTCAAAAATCGACTGTTTTTTGCTTAACTATAAACCTTTTGTACCCTGATATCATATTTAATAAAACATGAAACACGTGCGCATTTAAAAAAACAAAATACAAAAAAAAAACATATATTGCAATCGTACCCACAAAAGTGTTGTAATCCCGCGCATTGATACAAGTTTTAAATGTAGTGTGACACCTTAACCAGCCTTCAACTTACTGTGAACCTTACGCTGGAAGGTGTTTGCTTCAAATATTGCAGCTACGCCGTTATAATAGTTGTTGGTTTGTAGAAGCCGCAATCATCGTACTTGCTACGTGTACTGCTAAAATGTCGAACCTAATCAATTGTCTACATATAGATATAGTATTTTCGGTTAAAATTGTCAAGAACTTGATAGATCAAGACGCAGGAAATTACTTACGGTTATCAGTTTTATCAAAAAAAATCGCCGAATTAATCGTTGACAAACTGTTTGTTTATTGCATATATGAAAATAAGTGATAGAATTACCGTCGGACATAGTCAGTAACCTTGACGATGGCCAGGCTATTTTCTGGTTATTCATCGATCTCAAGATAACATTTAATCTTAACAATCAGAATACCCTGCTTTCAAAATCCGAACGTCACCGCTTGGTTCCAATATAATCTTCTCAATTTCAACATTTCACTAATAATTGTTGGTTGTGTATATAATCCATACGACATCTTTATGACAACACCGCATAGCATAATAATAGTAATATATATATATATATATATATATATAAATAGATTGTTAATTTCACAAATTTTGTAAAGAGCCCAGACATTGATATCGTGATATTTAAAGCGGGGGA